TTTTTTTTTTGTGTCTGTGAACGCTCAATCTCAGCTCTCGCTGGACCGATTTTGATGAACAATATGTCAAAAGATCACAAATCGTATCTAGTCGAAGACATTACCCTCAAAAATTGAAAAAAATTCCCTCGTTCCCCGTAAACGGGGGAAATCCCCCAAAAAATTACAAATTTAAAAATCGCTAATTTTCGATATTTTTTTATTATATTTTAAAGTGAAGTGGTTTTTATGACTCACAGAACTAAATTTTTTTTTACAAATCATTTTACATTTATAAGCAAAAAGAATTATTTAATTATGTGATATGTGATAAATCCCACGTCGCAAACATATTTTCTGTAACCGCGCTTACACAAATGTTTTCTAATTTAAAAAAATATTAAAATTATAAATTATGTATAAAATTAAAGCTATATATAAAAATATTAATGAATCATTAAGAAATAAGTGGACTTTGTATTTTCTAAGTTTGCTTAAATATTTATTTTTCAAATTAGAGCTAATTGGGAGATTAAAAGAATATGCAATCCTCTTAGACCTTAATTATTTTGTTCATCAATTTATTTTTTGTATTTTTCGAGAAAAATAATTGAAGTCATATTTATTATATTTAAAGTACTTATGTTTACATTATTGAACATTACATTTTTATTATTAATTATCTTAAGCTCTCAAGGCGTATGAAATGTATAAAATAGAGGTATTAAAAACAATTAATTGTGTAGAATATATAACTTTCAGATTTTAAGTCAAATAATAAAGATGTTCTCATTTACAGAAAATATTTTCTTTGTTTCCATATAAAATTACAATTACTAAATGTTAAATCAAAACCAAAACTAAGTTTGAAATTTCAAAAGTCTAACAATAGTTTTGATTAATGAAACGCACAAAATATGTTGTCACTGAAAACTCCGTTAATTAAAGTGTTACTAGACAATAAAAGGTATGAAAACTAAATAAAAATATCCATCATGGTAAAATATAACTATTTTTGATTAATCATATTGAAAAATATGATTAAATATCATATATATATATATATAGTGACGAATGATGTCAAAATGCTATTTAATTTTTAAAACTGATCTACATTTTTATTTGATTGGTTCAAATGATAAATAAAAAATTGTTTAAATAAAATCCAACAAAATTTTATATCGATGAATTTTTAAATAAACTTTATTATAATTCTCTGTTGAAGAATTTCAGAAATATCAAAAGTTATCTTTTCAATTGGTAAAGAATTTAATATAACAACTTACTCGTATACACAATTTCAAAAAAAACCCTTAAATTTGAATTTATATTACTATTATTATTATTATCTATTCTAATCCAATAAAAACTAAAAAAACTTAAATACTGAGTGTTTCCTTTAACGTTATCCATCAATTTCAACTAAACTGATAAATATATTGAGAATTTTCTTTTTGAGTTTTTTTAGTTTTATAAATTACTTAACTTAAGTTCTTTTTAGGTTAATCCCTTATTTCTTATTGAAACTTAAACTTTGTATTTTCAAATAGGAATAAATATATTTTTGTAGCTTGTTCAAAAAAAAATTATGAAATTAAGACAATTTTTTATCAATAACAACTTTTAGTCCATTATCGTTGAAGTTATTACGATTCTGAAATTGTAAACATGTTAATTGTAATTTCTATTATATTATATATATATGTAATGGGAAACATTGTAGCTTATTTATTATATAAGCTACTTAAATAAGTAAGGTGATTCATTTATCAAATGAACCACTTAATTATTCAAAAAGTGAAAAAAATCATGAATAATTTTTTTTCTTTTAAATATAAGTTTATTTTAATTTAACAATTATAGAGTACTTTTTATGTTTATTCCTTATGTCTTATTAGGGTATCAACTTTATTTTTTCAAATGACAACATAAATAAACTTTTTATTTAATAGATAATTAATAAGAAAATGACCGGACGGTAACAAATTTGAAATATTATTTCAGAAGTTATTGATGTTTTAATACTTAGATAAGAGAAAGAGTGCAGCTGAGAAATGATTGGTGACAAAAATAACAAAAATCGCGTCTCAATTCTTGTCATCACTACAAGCTGTTGATAACTTATGAAATACTTGTCCAAAATTTATTATTGACCAGTTATTTTTTTAATTTGATCGTCATAAAATAATTAAGTTAGTTAATTATGTATGTTTTCATTTAAAAAATGGATTTGCGCTCTTATAAGGAATCCAGGATGGACCAAAAAAGAACTTAAAGATACTTAGAATGCACTTAAGTCAAAAAATATATAAAACTCAAAAAGTCAAAAAAATAATTTTTAATTTTATTATTGTATTATTTTAGGTGAAGTACAAACGTTAATAAAAGGTCTATCTTTTATGAACCGTAATTTATAATTAAATTAAATTAAATTAATAAGAAAGAATAATTTTTTCTTTAAAAATGAACTAATTCATTATGTAAAATTTATTAATACATTGTCTTACATTATTTTTTTATGAATGTATTTTATTAGTCATTTTTTTTTAGAGGAATAGAAATAAATTTAAAAATTGTGTATATATAAATAATACATATTTTTCAATTATATATAATGAAAATTGACTCATTTCAAATGCAGAAACATAATTTAACAATAAAATAGGTATAACATTTTTCGTAAATGACAGATAAAATACTTCAGTGTAGCTATCATATTCCAAAACACATTTTTTGACTAATCTTTTTTAAAAATGCCATAAAGTTCATTTGTAGAATGAACTATACTATTATAGAATTACTATAATAGTATTACTGAATACTTAATATACAGAATGTGATTATATTTAAAAAATGAAAAAATGAATTAACGAGGAAAATATGTTTATCAATTTATATATATATATAAATATGCATATATATATATATATATATGCACAAAAAAAAAAGAGAGAATTCATCAATTTCACCCTTACAATTCACATAAAATGTTTTGCACATAGCAAATTATTCCGAAGCGAAATGTATTTTCCATACATCTTTTAGTAGATGATAAAATTATAATGGGTTTGAATCTCATAAAAAATGTGAAAGATACGTTTTATCCATTTATACAGTGTGTTTAGAAAGTGAGGAAACGATTTCTATTGTTTTCATTTTTTGTAACAATTGATCTGTTTCCTTACATATTGCACACTCTATATATTGCATTTATGCTTTAAAGTAGCATGTTTATTAATTAACAAATGTGTTTAATTAATTTTCTTTTATCTGTACTAAGTTAATTAAAACTATATGGTGTTAAAAGGAATTTATTATTAAATGCTAATATTCTATAGATGAAACAAATATTTTAAATAAGTTAATTTTTTTTGGTGTGGAAATGTACTGCAAACATGGTCGATAGTATTCAAAACTTTTTCACTACTAACGGTCGCCTAGGGTATCGAATGAGAGTAGTTGTGGATATAGTTTTCGAATGCTTAAATCTGTAAAAGTAAACGAGTTCTAAAAGAAATATTACAGAACTAGCTATTTGACCCACTACAAGGCAATTAAATGCAATTACAACGTTTTCCATCGTGAACACTTTATTTTTATTCACTATACGGTGAGGTTCTGATATTGTCGGTATTTTAACAGCATGCATAAACCAACTATCGATAATACCGCCCTCGAATAATTTCGCTATAAGCTCATCTACCGTTTTCCGATAAACAGCTTGACGACTAATCAAATAAGAAATGTACAGCGACCACGGACATTCTTCGACTATATGTAGAATAACTTCATTATTTTCCTTGTATTCAGTCATTTTTTCCAACAGATCTCTTTTGCGGCCTATTGCTATGTAATTCTAAAAACATGTATAAATTAGTAATTTAATTTTTCAATTAAAATAATCAAAGTAATTTTCGTATAATAATTAGAACTCGAGTCATTATGAATTTATACATTTTTATCATTAATATACATTAATATACTTAAATAAAAAAATGATAAATAAATTTTTATGTTTGTTTTTCTTAAAATTATTGTTTTTTAGAAAATTCTTAATGAATGAAAAGTGATTAATCTTTTGTTTAACCTCGACATCATTTTAGAATATTAAAATAACATTAATACAATATAATTTTCCATATGTTTATTTTTACTATAATATGATTAAACTATTTTCTTAATTATAACATTTCTCAAGTGTAAATGCTAAAGAAATGTTTATAAATATTATAAAATATTTATTATCAGTATATAGTTACTTTTTTATTGGATACTTCCCCAAGAATATCTACATTAATCGATTTCTGTTTAAGTATAAATCGATCATACATCTCATCATATATATATTCGTTTGTTGTATTTTTGAACATGTTGGCCAAACTTTTGGAAGATGATAAAATAGGGAGTCCAGTGTCATACACTTCTTGAACAGTGTTTATATTTTTCTCGTATTTAGGAATGCTTATATATTTTACCATTACTGCTTGGAGACTAGTAGACGTGATGAAACCAAATACCACAGCTGAAATAACTATTAACCGTTCAGGAACATTGTTTGGCATTCTGTGTAAAGGGACCATTAGGAACACTTGAAACAGGTTGATTGCTAGTCCCATGGTAGTATACGGCATATCCGTTGTTCGTTTAATAAGACTCCATGCTACTATGGACATAAAATAAGAGACAGCAAGCAAACACCAAAGTTGTGCTTGAAAAGCTGTAAATATTGCTCTCCATTGACTCATTTTACCCGCCTTAGGAACTACAAAGCATAACTCTTCATATTGTACTACTGTCGTAAATTGGACGTTAGCATTGGTACTGTAATCCTTTCAAAAATACATTTTACTGATAAGTAACAATAAAAAAAATTTAAAGGGCCTCATTTTATAGTTTGCCCGACAGATTACCAAAAAAAAAACAAATAATAAATGTATTTATGAAGTATTAGGGTAAAAAAATATAAAAATATTACCATAAGAAGTACTCCATTAAAAGCTATATCAGCCACACCATTCACTATATCAGCCAAAGCTCCGGTATAAGTTCCATTAGGTTCCATCCATCCATAAAATTTACCATCTCTTGGCTTTGATATGACCGGTGTAAAATTCATGCGTTTAGATAAAATAGATAGAGAAAATCCATCATAACCCCTATATGTGCCATCTGATTGGGCGATTGCTTTCAATTTAGTTGGAAACATGCTTATGCGCACTGGATATCTGTGTAAGTTTTTTATCTTTGTTTTGAAGTCTTTTTTTAATGCGTGTTTATCAACCGAACAGTATTGGGTCAACGTTTGAGAGAAAGGATTGTAAGTGTATACCGCAGAAAAAGTTAACAGTACCACGTTGATCATTGAATGGCGCGTCCAAGCAAGTTGAAACAATTCTGTAGCAACTGAATCATTAGCTGTAGGTATCAGCCAAACATAATATACCGCCGAGTCCCACAAGCCATTGACGTTCGTTAACAGCCAACTCATTCGTTGGGATCCATTAGTTGCAATTAACCCTGCATGGTCAATACTCATATTATTATACCATTTGTTAAAGAAAACCCATGAGGTGTTAAGAGCGAAACTGGCTTGTATAATGAAATCATTTTGAATTGTTTCAAAGTCACTAAAAATCGTTAAAGACAAAGCATAAGATTCACTAATGACTAATTTACATAAGGTAAATACATCCTGATCATAAGGAATCGTGTGTCGGTCATCTGTTGACTTAAGACTTAGTAGAGCAAACACAACATTCATGTTAAATGGAAATAAAAAAACCACAGTCGCAATTTTTACCGAATACGAGATGGTCATGTTAACTTTGAATATACGTCTTAACGAATATAACGCAGCGGGTTGTCCGATTGACCAGAAAAGGCAACGTATGCAAGAGTTGTTACAAATGACATTTTCGATATTATCTGAACAAGTCATTATAGAACTGTCAAGAAATTCAAAAAAATAATTTTCTTTCTTTTGATTTAGATGACTGTAACAAAAGGGTTAGTATTATCAAAAGATAATGTGAATATCAAGTGTTCCTTGTGACCCTCAGTATGAATGAATAAATAAAAAACTTTATTGCAGTTCCACTAATATATACGTAATGTATATAATTTATTTTTTTATAAAAATAATAAAACCTTTTCATTATTATTACTAAAATAATATATTATTTGCAAATGCGTATTGCGTTTACTGATAGCGATTTAAGTTTATACCAAGTCATTGCTTCATTTAACGAAAATCGTAATAATAACGTCACGTTTAACCGATTTATGGTTCAATGGCGTTTAGAATAACAATATTATAAAATCATTTCGATTGTTCATTTAGTTGCCTTTAATTCAGGGACCTTTTTGTGAACGTTTATCGTCCTCACAATCACATTCTTTAAACACCATGTTTGAAACTTAAAATATCGTCTTCTTTCTAAATAACTCTTTAGGTACAGTCGTCGGCAGACAAAAATAATTTGCATAAGCATCCATAATTCAAAATCCCGATTCATTTTCAAATGCTTTTGCGAGACATTTAATGTTTAAAGTCGGGTAAAAATACGTTTTCCTTTTAATATTTGTTTTTAAACATAAGTTTTATTTTAAACTAATAAAAAAGTGAAGATTTTGAATTTTACAATTAATTTAAATAACCCCCACACCTGATAAATATAAATTACGTAAGACTTATCAAATACTCTGTTTTTTTTAAGAATAATTATGATATAATATATTATAATTATTTTTAAAATAGACATATATATTATATGTTAATACCAATTACATATTGAATATAACCAGCAAAACCAAACTGTTAATTAATTTTATACTAATAATTTCCTCTTACAGTAAATTTCTGTATGTGATATATAGAAAATATACGTAGGTTTATATTACGTAATAAATGTAAATTTTACCAACTAAACTGAGAGGAAGTAACTATAGGTATAAAAAAAAATATTGAATTATCTCATAAATCATAATATTGCAATTTATAAACATATCTGTTGAAAACTAATAAGTTCAAATTAAAATTTGGAGGATAAAATTACAGTGTTCATAACTAAATTTTCACTAATGCAATTAAAATATTAAACTACTAATAAATAAATAAATAAAGAATATACACTTTTTATTAATTTTTATCTTTGTACAGATAATAATTTTCCTTTAAAAAATGTAAAAAAACTTAGTATAGTAGGGTTGCGAAAAAATGGGGACGTGACATATTTGGGACAAGTATAGATGTTATCTGACAGCGATTAAAATCACTATCACGAAAAACGCGTCTATAGAAATTTGTGGATAGTGTTTAATTTTTAAAAGAAATTATTGAATTAATTCTCAATATATATTCTAATTACAAGTTTTATGATTTATGTGTATAAAACATAAATAAATACTTATTGTAATACAAAATTCAGATTGAAATTGATATTTAATAATTTAGTATTGTAATTTTTATGGAAAAATGATAAAATGTTATAAAAGTTATTATTATCTAAATAATAAAATTATATTAAGAAATTTCGTTTAGGTATTTTTAATTTTATACATTTCTCGATTTATTAATTAAATTTATTAAATTTTTTTAAAATTTATACCATAAAAGGATGCCAATTTTTTAAGGAAAAATACTTGATTATCTAGTTTATAAAATAAATAACGGTCTAATTAAAAAATAACTGGTCAATAACAATTTTTAAAATAGAACTTTAGAAATTATTAACATTTTAAAATATAGAGTGGAGGAAGAGTGAACTAGGAGTAATGAAGTTAAAAAGTTAACCGATATGAATTTTTACATTACAACGTTTTAGTGCCCAGCCTTAATAATTTCCTTAAAATTATATTTAATTATACTTTCTGATTCCTAATTTCATAGAAAATATAAATTTTTATTGAAAATTGTTGAAAAAGGATTTAATTAATTAAATGACACGTTGATTACAACCATATCAAATTTTAAATGGATTCTTTAAATCAATGAATATAGATAGTATACTGAATAATAATATTAACGAACCTCAAGATTTGAAGAAGAAAAACCACAAGTTTATGAATATATTGATTGTTTGTTAAAATTAAAAAAAATTTGATCTATACTGAATCGTGTAGAGTATTTACTCCAATAATTATTTCTCTGTAAAATATACGAAAAATGCATTTACACAGTTTCCCTAATTAAACATAGATGCACTATGTATAGTAGTAATGCGTTGTTCTTATAATGGACACACTGTACTAGTATCAAATGCACAGAAGAGTTCACTAGAGAATATGATAAACCAGGATTTTTGATTTAATTTACAATTACAGCTACTAATTATTGGTACAAATAAGTGCAAAAAGAAATAATGCAATAAAAGTAGTACTAGTTTTTAAAAATTAAAAAAATAATGTAAAATATTCATTGGGTGTGGTTTGATCGTGGATTATCAAAATTTAAGAATTTTTACGTTTTCCAACTGTCATTATTACATTATATATGTACTCATTATATATGTGTTGTGTTATGTGAAAAAGTAGTAAGGAATACTAAAAAATGTCAGAGTGTCCTATTGCTCAAATTAACGAAGATGATGAAGATACTCAAGAACGAAGAATTGAAGTACAAGGTTACCTAAATAAGTGGACAAATTTTTTACATGGATGGCAGAAACGGTACTTTGTTCTAAAAAATGGGACACTTCTCTATTTTAAATCTGCATCAGAAACAGAATATGGATGTCGTGGTGCCATAAGTTTATTTAAAGCTACTGTGAAGGTAGAATAATGAAACTGTGAATTATATGTTTTTTTAACTATCTTACAATATTTTTTTTAGCTTCATGAAGTTGATGATTGTCGATTTGACATATCATTAAATGATTGTGTTTGGTATTTGCGTGCTGATTCACCTGCTACCAAAAATCATTGGATTGATGTTATAGATTCATTTAAAGCGGAATCTGGTTATGGCAGTGAAAATAATCTGAAGCGTAATGGTAGTTCACTTTCAATATTATCATGTAATATGTCAACAATGTCTCCAGTTTTAAAAAAGAACAAAGGTTTGCAAGATAAACTCAGTGAGTTGACAGCGTTTCGTAATATTTTAATTAATCAACTTGACAGACTTCAAATCTACTTTGATACATGCTTAGCAGAGTTTGCTTCTTCAAATGGTAAGTTTTAAAGTTTCATAAAGCTTAATAGTTTATAAATGTAGAAAGACAGTCAATGTTTGCATACTATTTATTATTTATTTGCTAAAACTCACTATTTATATTATAATTGGAATTAAAAAAGTTTAAGAATATAACCACTTTTTTATAAAAGTTTTATTTATTACTTATTACTATAAGTTATTTTAATAAACAAAGTAACTAAACTAACATAAATAATTAATCATTAGGATTATATTTATATAATATGAAGCACCATAAATAAATTAGTTAATAGTTACAAAATGTTTAACATACAATATCAATGTTTTGAATATTAATCACTGAATTTGAACAAAGGTTATCATATATGATATAGCTGCAAAAAAATGCAGCTTATTTATATATACATTTGATTTATTTACTCATAATGTATTATGTACCATTGCATTTTCCTTATAGAGATAGATTATAACTTATTTTAATCTAGTTTAAGTAATGTATTTAAAGTTAGAGTATTGAATAGTTTTTTTACCTAAATATAATATTGTATTATATTTATGATACAAATTATGGATAATAATTATAATATACTTAACGGTTTGCTGTTTCACTCCTGTCATATTCATACAATATATATTACATATAATTATAATATTAATATATTTTTGTAATTTATTTATACAGCTCATGTATTTTTTAAGTTTAAATATACGATGCTGTAATATGCCTAATAGTTAAGAAAAATAAATAATAATTTTTACTTGAGAAATGTTTAATAACTTTTATTTCAGTACTGAAAAATATGTTAGTCTAAATAGATTATACATCATTAAATTGGGCACCCAAGACTCTTCTCTCTTCATTTAAAATGGGATTACAGTTTCAGTCAATGTAAAGTTAATATATTACTATATTAAATTAAATGTATTATGTTATTGCATTGAGTGATCAATTTTGGTTAAGATACTCAATATCTCATAAACTATTGAAGATTTCAAGTATGCATAAAAAAAAATTACTTTGGTTCAGAAATATTTATAATATGGTGTATAAGTGATTAAATAATTTTCATCCCTTAGGGTAATAAATATCTTAAATTAAAATTTTTTAAATTAGAACCCTAACTTGATAATATAACAGAAAAAAAACACTAACAATTTTGTTCATAAAATCGTTTTTTCCTAAAGGACCATTCATCCATTACAAATTTTAATACCATACTATATATTAAAATGCTTTAATATATGAATTGAATGAAATAATTAAAATAAAAAAAAATTGTTTGTAATTTTTTTTTCTATCATAGTTTCTGATAAAATAAGTGTCTTACTTAAAATTACCATTCTGTATATATATATATATATATATATATACATATTATATTGTTACAAACACTTCAAATTCTCACATCTAAATATTTTTAACATAATATTACAAGACTAAATTAAACTATATCAATTCAAACATCATGTTTTAAATTTTTTTTATTTGACTATGTAATAAAAATTAGGTACAAAGTTCCTAACATTTTTTATTTATATAAAATTTATTATATATTCTTAAATTAGTCATCTGAAATTTATTTTGAATTTAAAATGGTTTGGCACGTCATTTAACAAATAACTTGTTAAATAGACTGTTTCTAATTTTTTTATTTTTTTTTCTCATGTGTTTAGATGACTAACTTTTGTTTCATTCATTTTTAGTGTTGAGCACAAAAATCTGTATTGATCATTATTTTACAGCTCTATAAATTCTGATAGCACTGTACATATTTTCATCTTATTTTTCATATACCAGTTTAATGAATGATATTTATGATCAAATAAAAACCCAGTTACGAATTAACTATTCATTGGTTTGCTTCAAGTATAGGTATAAGTACCTTTTCCTATTATTTATGTATATTATATTGGCTGATAATTTTGATTATACTCACAAGTTGTTTTTATACATTTTTTCATTAAAGACGTTTTTTTTTTTTTATTTTTAAGCTTATTTTTTTGATATTGTGTTCCCTTAGAAATCGAGAATGAATTTTGCTGTTTATAATCACATAAACTAGTAGAAGATCAGTAAAGATTTTTATTATAAACCATATTTCTACAATTATCAAATATAATTTTTTTAAATTACATATTTAGATTAGAGATTCTTTTGTTATAAAAACAGTGTTTTTTTACATTTATAACCTATTTTTCTCAATTAGTAACTAAAGCCTTTATAGCAAAAAATCTTCTTGCTAACTGTAATAGTTTGTATATTTAATTATATAGACTATTTGCAGGCTAATTAGTATAAGTAACATTTTACTAAGAAATTTCAAATTCGGTTTATTTGAAGTATTTATAAGTTACTTTCATTTTGGCACAAAATTTATTGATAAAATTGTCACTTTTACCAATTAACATAAAAACAGTCAATATGGTTAATAAGTTTTTACTGTTATCATATAATTGACAATTTATAATTAGAAAATATACTTATCTCTGAAAAGTTATTTTTTATGTAAGAGAAAATTAAATTACTACAAGTTTAACACATCTAGTTTTTTTTTTATTGTTAATAATGTTTTGACACTTTTGGCAATTACCCTCAATATCTAGATACTTCTCCTAGTTTTGTTAATTATAATTTTAAAATTGTTTTAAATTCAGGTATCAAATAGTTAAAAGACTGAAAAGTAACATAATTGTAAAAATATATTATAAAAGATAAAATGTTATATAAAAAAAAAGAAAATGTTTGTTGCATTTAAAAATATTATTTACTTCGAGATTGACTTTTCAAAAATATTTTATTTTTATGAGCAAATGAAGTAATCTTTATTTTACTAATAATTCTTATAATCGTATGATCTGTTATCATAAACATTAGAACTGTATGTACTATTAACAATTATTATTTTATTAGTATCCCTCAAATTATTAATTGGTTACGTCTTATCTTAAAAATATATAAATATAAAAATATATTTACATTTAATAACCTTTTTTTAAATAATAGTTTATATTTCAACCCAACCTGATATGCGTTTTATTTTTCAAATTCTTTTCTTAGAAATAAATTTGTTTACCTTAATGTATTTGGCTATAGAATAGATGTCTCTTTTTCATTAGTTATTTCTTCTATATTCACATAATTTAAATAGTTTTAATCCACGAATCTAACCCAACTGATTTATAATTATTTTATGCCTATAGCCAATTTATGAACAATAACTTGTCTATATAGAGTTTATTAGAAATAGTTTATTGTATCTTAATTTTTCACTATTGGATACTTAAAAAGAAAATCCATAAGATTAACAAACCTTTATAATTTTGAAAATTAAAAAAATTATACAACTTTCTTTTTATGAGTAATTAAACAAGATTCGCATGAGTATTTTTTCTGGTAAAATGATGACGCATGTGCCCGATGATAAAAATACATAATACAGTTATTCATTGTTGTACAAGTGCCAAAAAACCCTAATAATATATAAACAAAATTCAATCATATGATAACATTGTAAATAACAGTTAGTGTGTCAAAACTTTTTATTTGTAGTCAGGTAATTCTTAAAAAGTTATGTTTGAGTACTGCTGGCATAAAATGTTTAAGTAGGAAGAAATATTGGCAGGTAAATATTTTTTTACACCTGATAATGAACAGATAGCAATTAGCTTGTCTATTCACTTACGATATCAGTAATTGTAAATTTTTAAAATTTACTATTTGATAAATAATAGGTAGTTATGTTTAATTATTCATTTTGTTAGTACTAAATAATTGTACATGTATTATTTTTCCATTGTTATTATCTACACTGAAACATCTATTTTTTGAATTTAAGTTACAGTTGAAGATTAGATTAGAACCGATAAGATTTTTTTATACATAAATTTTAAAATAGATAAATAAAATATTTGAAATATAACTAATAATTTTTACCATCTTATGATTTTAGTTTTATTTTTTTAATGTGTGGAATTTCTTGAAATTGTTTAACTAAATGTGTAATATTGTAATTTATTAATACAACAATGCTGAATAAACACATCGTGAGTCTAATTTTTCAAAATAATAAAATTGTTAAAGTGTTCGAATTTTTAAATAGAATTATCATTGATTTAGCGATTGCCATTTAAATTTTTGTTCTTTAAATGGTATGCATTAACGCTCTGATTAGAAATTTGGTAAGTACGCCATAAGTATGTAGGCGTATCTATTTAATTTGTTTATTTTTATGCTTCTGTTTTTTTAATTGTAATTTTATCATATATTCATGTGACTGAATTTTTGAATTTGAACATAGAGAATTAATTTGGAAAATATAATTTTTATATTAATCATAAAATTATGTGGTATATTAAATGTATTACTTTTTGGGTTATGATCATATTTCCTTGTACAGTACTATTTTTATGAAAACGGGATGAACGTGTTATTTTTTGTATTCGTTACGTGCTATTTTCGATATGATTAACTTAAATTTGATAATTTTACTGATTTATTTAAACAAAAAAATTATTGCAATTTAAAATTTCGAAGTTATTAACTATTGTTGTCATTATGTAAAAAATCAACGTCATCTTTTCTTTATGTAATAATTTTACATAATGTAATTGTTAAATAAACAATAATTATGTATCTTTTAGAGTTTACTTATAACAGAAAATATGTATATTAATTTTAAAATTACGTTGGTAAAAAATGACAACTTCAGAAGTATTTGACCTCTTTCTTTGTAAGGAGTAAGATGAAATTACAAATGTAGTAATGTTTAATGTTATTTAAATATCTTAATAATAGTAATACTATCACTCCTATGGTCCAATTAGCACGTACACGGGAAATTTTACTTGAATTTAATAACTATTTTGAGAAATTGAATTTAAAAATTTGTAGCCTTAGACGTATTCCTTGTTTCATTACTAAAAGTAGCCACTTGTTTACATTTATTCTAGACATATTATCGCATTTGTAGTGAATTATCATTTGTTCAATGTCCCTATTAAGTGAATATAACGTGTAATATAAAATTATTATATTTCTGATATTTTTGAAAATGTTATATTTTAGTTTAATATAATTTATTTTTTAATTTTAAATCTCTAGTAATTAAAAATAAAATAGTGAAATCCAATTTAAGTTATTAAACCTTATCTCTATACATTTGAGTTTTATAACGATTATATCATAATTAAAGTGCTGACATGGGAAAAGTTGGGTTTTAATATCCTGATAATCTAGTAAAAATAAATAAATAAGATTATAATTAACTATTTTATTATTTTGAAAATTTAATTCTTGTGACTTACAATGAGTACTTATGTCATGGCAACGTCCCGTTTTTTTAATTAAATAATTATTAAATACTACGTTTTTTAAATGTCCTGTTGATAAATATATTACTTTTCCATATCTAACTTATTTTCAGCTGCAATATAATATTCTTTATAAATATATTTTCATTATTACTTATTATTGAAGTATTCCTATTTTCTTAGCATGGTATGAAAACATTGTGTTATTACGATTACATCTTGAACAAAAATTGAGCATATATGTAATAATTTCTTATTATAAAAAAATAATTCTCTTTTATTCTTATAATTCATTGGAAATTTAAATTAAAATTTAATTGTAATTTTGTAACTTTAATGTAAATTAACTTTTTCATCGTATAATAATTACTATTGTTAGTGTGACTAACCAAATGGCGTATTTTTTATAAATTAATTAAAATTACATTGTAATATTGTTTCCCGTTCATTGTTTGCTATAAATATTCTATTCATTTAAAAATTCTGTATTAATTTAAGAATTAACTAGTTAATTAACTTAGTTAACTCATAAAATTTGTAACATCAAATTAAATAATATGTCAATTTACCTCGACAGAAGTAAATATACAGTATTTGACAGTGACGTTTTCAGGGTTTCATCTTGGAAGGAGATATACATAAGACATTTTTTTACTATTTTCATCAACACACTTCTTTACCATATATTTATTTTTATCATGGAGGGTTCTATCCCCATACTCCTATGTAAAAACGCGTGGTAGAATTTGGAAATTAAAAATTAATCTCCCAAAATCTTGTCATATCTGTTTAATTATTGATAAAACAATATTAACCAATAAATAAAAGTCCAGAAAATTATGAATAAACAAAATAGCGGTAAATACACTAAAATAGTTTACAATAAAAAACGTATTTAGTTAGAAAAACTATTTTGATTTTTAAAAATATCTTTATTTTCGACATTTTTTTAATAAACGTTACAAAGACCCTTAACTGTAATTTTAGTATTTATAATAGTTTATATCAAAAATTTAGTTTCTTCAAGTTTTATAATTTATCAAATTTTTTTGAGTTAGAATAAAATTATATTTAATAGGTATCAATTTATCTTCTGCAAATAAAAAATTAAAAAATTAAAAAGTATTGATGCTAATAAAATTACGTCATTGTTTTTAACACGCTTATATTAGTTTCACCTGTATTTACATCTATGAATTATACTACACATTGGACACTTAAAATATGTTCATAATATAAACAGTTTTATATTTTATTCTTTTTACAAGTTTGAAAACGATTTAGTTATGAATATAAAATTTTATTTTAAAATAGTGTAGACCTATTTTTATATAAAATTGCATTTTTGTTCTTATTGTAAAAAATATTATTTAACTTTTAAATTGTTACTTGTTTTTTAGAAGAGTTGTCAAAACACGAAGCATATCAAAAATATTCATGTGAAGCTTTAGATTTTAAAGGTGAAGCAGTAGCATTTAAAGCAACGTCTTCTGGAATAATTGAAATTCTTAGACATTGCATTGAAGTAATTTATTAAAATAAATGTGTATATTTTTCTTAGAATATTTAATTAGTTAAATTTAATGTAGGTAATGAATCAACGAGAAGAAATGTGGGAATCTATGTTGGAAAAAGAAATTAATAACCGAAAAGATTTAGAGGAAGTGGTTAGAACATTGTCTTTAGTTGATGGACTAACAGATCAAGAAAGAGTTCAAGTTCTCTCTGGGGCAGACTTAACTGTAAACATTTTTTATTTTTTTTTTAAGTTATAATTTAATTTGTTCATAGTATTTTTAATCAATATTAATTGATTAATGTAAAAATACTATGTCAGTTTAAGACTTCAATATGTCCTAGGACTAAAATTTAAAATAGTTAACCTTTATGTTAAATATGCTGTATATTTAAAAATTACTTCATATATACAAGTGATCCGTTTATTATATCCCACTTAAATACTTGTAGAAAAAAAATATTGAAAAAATAATTTTGATTTATCAGTTATTAATTAAAACTTGAATTTTAATATTATAACGTTTTAGTACCCAGTCATGGTAATTTCCTTAAAATCATATTTAATTATACTTTCTGATTCCTAATTTTATAGAAAATATAAATTTTTATTGAAAATAATTTAAAAATGATTTAATTAATTACATGGCAAGTTGATTACAAGCAATTCAAATTTTAAATGGATTCCTTATTTAATAGGATATAGGAAGCCTAAATAAACTATGATTGAATAGAATGAAAATATCCAGAATTTCATAGTTTCTCCAATAATAATGTTAGTTTTATTCAATTAAAATTATTTCATTCATAATACTGGTTATAACTACTTGCATTGTGATACACTTTATGTGGGTCTTGAATTTACATTTACAAGGTCATATAAATTGAACTGGTCGTAGTTCATCAGAATATTTTGTGATAATAGAAACTGTCTAATGATTTAAGATAAAAGTGTTTTAAATTACTGCTGTACTCTACTTTTTTTAAATGTATTAGTTAATTTTATTCATTTCAGTTTATATGTAATAATGAACTATAATTAGTACAACACAAATTTTTTCTTATTAGCTATTTTCCATTTGAATATTATAAAATGAATTCAATTATGAATAAATTCAAAATTAAAGTTCAGGTATTAATTCTTTATTTTCATAACTATTAATTTATATAAATATTTAGTTATTCAATTATTATTTTTTAATATATATTAAATAATTGTTTAAAATTGTATACACTCTTTTAACAATTAGAATTTAAATAAACTTAAATTTTATAATAATCAAGTATGCAAATTTTAAAAACTTAGAATTATTTTTCATGTTTTTTTTAACTTTGTTATTGTTATTATTTTGTTGTTAAAAGTGCTCAATAATTTTTTATTAACATGTTAATAAAATTGTAGGCTTTGTGTTTAATGTTTTATTTGTTATTTTTTTGGTAAAATAATTTTTAATTATTTTTAATTATAAATAACTAATTTAAATTACAGTTTATTAATTTTTTCTATCTGATTAAAAATACCAATGACATAAACATTATGTTAATGCTAAATGGTATTTAAGTTATAAGACCTTATTAATGTAATTGAAATTATATTTAATTACATTAGTACTAATCCCTTATCTATGTAAAACTAAATTTTGGTTAATTTTTCAAATCCTTAATGAAATACTACTAATGTTTTAAAGTAATCTTATAATATATTATTAGTAAAGTAAATAGAATCTCTTGTAATTTAATATCCATATTTTTTTAGGAACATTCCACTATTACTGATGATGAATTTTATGATGCTGTTGAGTCTTCTAACGAAAATTCTACTGAAGATTCTAAACAAATAAAAGGTCAATTATTACAGCGTTCTAAAAACAATAATACTCCTAGCAAAGACATTAATTGGGCTTCATATATTAGAGCTGCTGCTACTGAAGCTTCTTTAAAACACCCATATTGGCCAGATGTAAGTTTGAAGAAATGAATAATTTCAAATAAAAAATAATTAGAAATAAAATGAAATTCACTATTATTATTCATTTGAAGTTAACAATATAAAAATTACCAAAATAATTTACTGCATAATTTTTGCATATCAAAATTTAAAAGATGAAATTGAGAAATTAATTATATTTGACAAGTAATCAATTATTAAAATAAAAACTTTTAAGTCTATTTTATTTGTTTTAAATTAGATTGAACATGTTGTTGCTGAACAAATTCGAGCAGCACGAATGGGTCTCGGTAAAGGAGCTTGGCAATTATTTGTTGAAGATGGTGAGATGCGAATGTATAGGAGAGAAGTTGAAGAAGATGGAATGGTTGTAGATCCACTTAAAGCAACACATCAAGTTAAAGGCATTACAGGTCGAGAGTTATTGCATTATTTTTTTTATCCTGAATATCGATATGATTGGGAAGGTTAGTAACAAATTGGTGGTTTGATACAATTCAATAAATTTGATATATTTAACTAATATATATTTAATCTATTTAGGTACACTGGAAACAATGAATGTTGTCAATGAAATTGCTAATGATACAATAGTTTTTCATCAAATTCATAAACGAATATGGCCAGCTGCACAACGTGATTGTACGTTCTGGTCTCATCTAACACATGTTCCTGATGTAGATAATGAATCTGAAGATGGACCACATATTTGGGCAGTGGTTAATAATTCTGTTGAACTACCATCACATGTGGTATTATATTTTATTTTAATAACAATGTGTATTTTAAAATATTTCACTTAAATATAAAAAAATATATATAAAAAAATTATTTTTTAATAAAAAGTATTTATAAAAAATTTTTATGTTTAAAAATATAATTCTTATAATTTTATATATATATTTATATTTTAACAATTAAAAAAAACATTTTTAAGAATATTGCGAATTAATTTTATAATTATAATTTTTTCCAGGCTAATGAAGGTAAATTGGTACGTCTTTTTGTTACTATTATTCTAATGGGACAAACAGTGATAGCACCTGAAACCAAAGATAAAGAACTAAAACGTGATGATATAACTTGTAAAATCACCTATTGTGCTGTTGGTAAGTAAAAATATATTTTTATTAAGAATTATACTTATAATACTGTAAATAAAATCTTCTTTGAAAGTCCAAAATTAAAAAATACATTTTTGGATTTCCAAAATTTAATATTACTTACTACATTTTTTTACATATTGGTTCATTTAGATTTTAAATAATAGTATAGAACTTTAGAATCAAATTAATCCACATTACTAGTGCAATTGTATATTCATGTATGTTATATCTACATGTGTTTGTTTAAAATATTTCAATGACATAAACTCTGTTGGACGCTTGGAGAAACCAATGTTGACATTTAATTATATTTTAAATTTCATTATCAAAAAAAGATATGTGAATAGAATCAAAATTATCTTAATTTACCCTTTGTTATTTTTTTATTTTTTAAACCTTAATTATAATATTTTATAATAAAAAAATTAACACAACTCTTACTCTTTTAAAACTGACTATCCCAGCTACCTTAGCTAGCTGGTTGTGACACCTGTCATCATCAATTCTTATTGATTCATTACAAATATTATTTTTATACTCATGTTGCTTTTTTAGTTTTAAATTAATATTTTAAATATATTTTTAATTTTAAATATTATTAGCCATGAGTGATCAATTCTTTTAATACAAATTTATGTTTAAAAAAATGTGACTAAACCATAAATATGAAAATTAAAAAAAATTAGGTATTTTTGATACCTTAATTGAATGATATTTAGATAAATTTTTATTATTTTATTTTTACAGTCAACCCTGGAGGATGGGCGCCTTCTACAGTTCTTAGAGCTGTTTACAAAAGAGAGTATCCAAAGTTTTTGAAAAGATTTACAGCATATGTAATTGATAAAACGAAAAACTTACCAATTAAACTTTAAATAAACTTATTCATTTTACTATCAAATGTAATTTTTCATATGTATTTTTACTGCCAATTATTGTAATTTTTTACTATTCCATCTTACTCTAGCTTTTTATGTTCATAATCTTAATTTTATAAATATTTTATATCAAATATTATTTATTAAAAATGTTTATTCCTTAATTAAAATTGTATACCATCTTTGTTTTAAAATATAATAATTTAATATATTTGCTTGGTTTATATACAGTTAAATAATTAATTTTGCAAATATGTTTATTGACCTAACTATAAAATAAATGTGGTCAACATAAAGAAATTTGATTTGTTTTGGTAAAATCCATGTTATAGTGGTTACCATGGAAACAAGCTATCTGTATAAAATTTGACATGTTATTATACTATGTTAATAATTTTTGTTAACTTAGTAAGTAATATAATATAATATTATTTTTACATAAATATCTTCATGTTTATATTTTATTTTATAAATTATGTGTTTTAAAAGTCATTGAGTTTTTATTTTATTTTTTTTTTAATGTTGATGTTAGTTGAACTCATAATATAAACTGATGTTTTATAATGATATAAGTAGTTTTATCAATAGATTTAAATATATGATTAAAACCAAATTTCCACAGGAACATTTTTGAACTCAACTGACAAGAACAAAACAGATAATATGACAAATAAATTAGATTCAGCAAACTCAGATTTATTTCTTGAACAACTCACTTTAGGATTATTGGGTGTTCTTGGTTAGTATATAATTGTCAAAATTTAAAATTTAAACTTTATAGATAATGAAAATTTTATGTTTTCCAGAAAATACAGCAGGAGTCAACAATTTGAATGTAACTCACAGTTTACCATGTGATAACAATAAAATTAGTTCTTGGGAACAATATAATGGCTGTTCACTTCCTGATGATTTACGACACTTCTATGCGTCATGTGATGGTTTTAAACTTACTTGGTCCTATAAATTAGATGGTATTAAGATACTTGCTTCTTAAAATTAAATTTCTTTGTCTAATAATGTGATTAATAATACTCACTTCATACTAGCTGGAGATTACAATTTATCAGGTGCTAATATAATCTTTAACAAATTTTCGTTTTTAAATTTATATCAAAATAACACTGTGTTAAATGATTTTAATAATTCTTTAGATTTAGTTTTTGTTAATAATAATTCAACTGATATCTCGTTCTATTGAAAATTTAGTTTCTCCCGATAGGTATCATCCATCATTATTAATTAGTAATTTATACATTTATGATAGTTATAATTCAAGACATAAGAATAATACATAGTATTATGACTTTAACCATGCTAATTTTCCTTTATTAGTTAATTTATTAAATGATATAGATTGGTCTTGTCTTATAATTTAAATGAAATTAACTCAGCATTAAGTAAGTTTTATGAAATAATTTTTAGAGTGTTAGATGCTAATGTGTCTAAAATCTACCCATATAAATCTTCTTTTCCACTATGGTTTTCAAATGAATTACAGTCCCTTATAAGCAAAAAAAATTTTTTGCATAAAAAATTTAAAATGTAGGGGTTACAGTCAATCTATAATGAATTTTCATCTACCCGTGCCACTTGTAAATTTTTATCTAAGCAATGCTATTCTGATTATTTAAACAAAGTTCAAAGCAGTTTAATAAATAATCCTAAATACTTTTGGAAGTATATAAAGAATTTTAAAAATATAAACCGATTACCTAATGTAATGAAGTATGACAATTCGCGCTTTGATAATATGAGAGACATTGCTAATATTTTTGGTAAGTATTTTGGTTCAGTATTCTCAGCACATTATACAAATCCGTTGTCTTTGTATAATTACGAAGGTGATATAATTGATTTTTCCAAGTGTGATTTATCTTTATTAGATATTTTTGAAGGTCTTTCTCATCTTAAAAATAGCACTTCAACTGAACCTGATTTAATTCCTGAAATATTACTTAATAAGTGTCGCTCTGCTCTTGTCCGGCCGATTCACTTCCTTTATCATCTGGTTGTTTTCCAGATCTTTGGAAATTTAGCTTTACATATCCTATTTTTAAATCTGGTGACAGAAGTGAGGTAACTAATTATCGCCCCATATCTAAGCTTAATGTCTTACCAAAGTTATTTGAAAAATTATTAGTATCTAAGCTTGCATACACATTTCAACTAGGGGTCGCGATTGTGAACAGGTATTAGAATACACGGATACACGGAGCCCCGGGTACACGGGCAAAACATACAGGGTGTTCAGTAAGTTAGGAAACAGTTAAATTGTTACAAACAATGAGTACAATAGAAATTCGTTTCCTTATTTACTGAACACCCTGTATATTAAAGCCCGTGTATTTAATATCCGTGTATAATACCCGCGTAGACCCGTGTATTTAATTCCCATGCATTCATTGTATATATATATATTATATTAAATATTTGACTATTTAAGGTCACGGGTATTTAAATGCCCGGGTATACACGGACTTTAACCCCGTCATAGATAAAAACACAGGTACCCGTGTAGTTCATTACACGTGTAATCGCGACCTCTAATTTCAACCTATTTTAGTTAATAATCAACATGGCTTCCGTTCATCAAAATCAACTATAACAAATCTTCTTGTTTTTTACACTAATTAAATATCTGCTCTAAGCTCTAGAGGCCGCGTAGACGCTGTGTATACTGATCTCAAAAAAGTTTTTGATAAAGTTGATCATTCAATTTTGTTAAAAAAGCTAAGACTTTTGGGTGTAAGTAATCCAATGCTTTTCTGGTTTTCTTCCTTTCTCAAAAATAGAAATGAACAAATCAAAATAGGTAATTATACTTCGAATATAATTATAGTTACTTCAGGAGTACTACAAGGTGGCCATTTGTCTCCTTTATTTTTTATTGTTTTTATTAATGATTTATGTCGAATTTTTCAACACTGCAACTATCTGCTTTTTGCGGATGATCTTAAGTTATTTATGACCATTCAATCAATTGATGATTTTGGTAAATTACAATCAGATTTAGATGGATTCAGTTTATGGTGTAGAAAAAATGGTTTAGTAATTAATACAAATAAATGTCATCAGATAACATTTAATCGTTCTAAAAATGTAAATATTAATTAGTACACGATTGATGGTTGTAATTTGCTTAATGTTTAAAATATTAAAGATTTAGGAGTTATATTATCTAGCCATTTGTCTTTTTCTAATCATATAGATTATATTTACAATAAATCGTCACGAACACTTAGCTTTTTGATAAGAAATTGTAATGAATTCAATAATATTTTGTGTATCAAAACGTTGTATATCTCTTTTGTAAGATCAATTGTAGAATATGCATCTATTATTTGGTGTTCATATAAAATAGGTGAAATTAATAAAATACAATCTATATACAAAGACGTTTTTTACAATTTATTTCTTTTAAGTCGAGGAATTAAGATGTGGTTTAACTTCTCTAGCTTGCAGGAGAAAATGCAATGATCTTTTTTGGATTTATAATATTCTTAATAATAATGTGAATTTTCCAGAAATTTTAAGTCTAATTCCTTTTAATGTTCCTAATTTTCATCTCCGATCAAATCATTTATTTTATATTAAATCATATCGTCGGAGTTATAGTTATTGTTCACCGGTCAATAGAATACTACATTTATGCAATTTAATTAAAAAATTTCATTTTTTTTAATGACCATTTAACCAAGTTAAAATCTATTTGTAGCGATGTATTTTAGTTATTTTGTTAATTATTTAAACTTCTATGTATGCTGTATTTATTTAATTATTTAAATATTTTGTATTCATATTCTGTACTCATTGCCGTTTGTAGCGTACTCAATATTAATTTGTTTGATGTATTTTTTGTTTAATTATGTTGTGTATTGTATATTACAATATAAATATTGAAATAAATAAATATGTGTGTTTCAGGTATTCTATCTGATAGAAGTTCTAATGCAAATTTGTCAATCGGAAACATAACAATAAACCCATTAAGCGCGTTAACACGTTTATGTGATATTAAGTCAGATTGCGTTAGTATGAGTGTTATACACGATTTGCAAATTCTAGACAGATTATCAGACGAAAATTCTCCTAAATTTACTGATAATACAAAAATGTTTGAGTTAGACTCCAGTTTAGATATAGGTCATATATGTTTAGTGTACTTTGATGAAACCAATGCGCAACCTACTGCTAACCAAGAAATTTTTAACTTGCATGAAGAGCCAAGTGGTGCCTCTATTTGGTTGTTGGATACCTCTTATTGTTGGCATTTCTTGGCTCCAAATTTTAGTAATTATTTTAGAAAAGCATTGGTTCATATGGGATTATTACATTGGCAATTGAAATTCACTGAAATTGGTTTGACACCAATTGGAGAAGTAAAAAATTAGCCAATATTAATAGTTATAAATGTATTAATTAATTAAAATAATTCATGGTTTCAGTTTTTCATGAATTTAGTTGCTCCACATTTAAATGTTACTGAACGAGTTCAAGCAATTAGCCAGTTTGATCATGATGATTCTTATTCAGCTAATAATACACACATTAATCATTTCGATCCGAATATTTTAAAAAACACTTTTAAAACAGTTAAAAGCAAAAAATCTACTACGCAGTCTAAGAGTAATGCTTAAATTTTTAATAATAAATTATTGAAGTAAAATCGTTTTTTTAATATTAAGTATTAATAATTTTAGTAAATAATTAAAGATTCGATGAGAATTACTGTAAAGTTAAATATACTTAACTATAAAAATATAAAAAATGTGTTTTGTTTAAGTTGATTAGGTTTTTTTTTATAAATTGATGTACCAAGAAACTTAATCTCAGTGTTCAACATAGTTTGCTAAGCAAATAGGCTCTATACAATTAGAGGCATGCACACAGATATAGCAAAGGATATTTTTGCTGGTCTAGTTTTATGGAAGTATTAACAATTAGTACTCTATAAAAAAAAGCCCGATTTACATAACATTTAAAAAAGAATTATCATACTTTATTATATAAAATTTTCAATCTGAGTTAACAAAATGGGTTTTAAATAATTCCTAACAAGTTCCTTTATTCTTCCATAAAATATGAAACATTTAGGAATAATTACGAACACGCTTGTGCTGTTTTAACATAAATCTGTATTCACGCCTTTGTTAACAATAGATAAGGAAGGACAAAAGTTATTCAACTTTTACTTAAGGAGATAAAGCATAAGTTTATATGTAAACATATATATTGATTTCAATATGCGTTATAATTACTACAAACAGTATAGTATAGATTAGAAATAATATAGATTTGGGTGCCACTTAATAATTCATCAATTATTGATGAGCAAAAAAAGTCTTTAAAATTCATATATATTAGACCCTTACTGAAAAATCAAATTTATTTTATTGCAATTAATATTATCAATTTGTTTCTGATTTAAATAAAATTCGTAAGAAAATATTTTTATTTATTTTGATACTTTTTACATTATATTAGTTAAATATTTTTTATTGGAAAAAATTATTTAATTTGAAAAAAACTTTAGTTTTTCTGAGTTCTTTTATTTAATTTTTGGTGTTACACAAAGTTATTTAAAAATCTAATAATTTTAGAGATTATCGTTTTGATAATTTTTTAAAACTTATTTTAGTTTATAAATATATAAATGATATGGTTATAGACCAATATTATTTATATAACTTTATGATAAATAATTTCGGTTGGAATACTGTTTTGTATATTTAATAAAAGTAATTGAAAACATAAGTTTTATTGATTGTTTGATAAAATTTATTAATATCATTCTTCACGATTATAAAATTAACGTAAAAAAATTAATTGTTAAATTATTCATTCATTATGTAATCGTTATGATCAATCGTTACAAATTTTTTTTTCAATTTTTTTATTAATTTTTTTCTTGACATCCCATTTTTTTCAGCATTATTAACTAGTGTTAACAGTGTTTCTTTATTGTCTACTTTTAAAAATGTGGGCATTTTATTATCTCCTTTTTTTTTTGTTAATACTATTTCTTTAGAAATAAAGTTATTTAATTCTGTACTACTGGAAACTTCTTCAAATTTTAGTGTCTGGTCTGGTTGTATAGCTATTATGCCTATTTCTTGTGTGTTGGTATTATCAGGAAAATCTTTAATATCTAATTCTTTTTCATTATTGATTGATTTGTCCATGTTATCTAATAAAGTTTCTTCAGATTTCTCCATATTGTCTTGATTACTATTTGATGCAAAAGAAAGATCAATTTCAGCGTGATCATTTATAGCAGTTTCTTGGTCAAGAATTTCTTGCACAATGCCTATAGCATTTTTTAACATTTCCACTCGAGGATGATTTTGGCTAATAGTCACTCCATCAGATTCTATACTACTTAATACATCAGCACCTTGTCCAATTTCATTGAATGTCGAAAATGATAGACACTCAAAATTATTCATTATTCTATTTATTAACTTAGATAAACTAATAAGTATTTTTTGTGCTTCGAATTGTTTACCATTTAAATTTTTAATGCTTAATAAATTTGAACTTTCAACTATTTTCCTAAGCATTTCATTGATATTAAACTTATGAGAAATCATATTTAATGTATTTTTATCATTGTCTAAAATAGTAAATGGACCAGCAGAAATGTCTTTTAACATTTTATACTTTGTTGGTGATCCATTGCTATACTTATTTTTAGTATTACTAACATTGTTCATAAATTTAGTTGCATCTGAAACAACTCGTTCTTTCACTTCGTTAGCAAAATTATGATAATCATTTATAATTTTATTTTTAGTTATTTCAATAACTTGATCCACTTGATCACTGTCGTCAATTTTTTTAATAAATTCATTTGCTTGTTTAATTAGTAACGTAACTGTTTTTCGGAAATTATTCGATAATAGTATTGTAGTGTAAACTAATTTCTTGATGTCATGTGATTCAACTTTTTTGATTTCCAAAAAAGCTTTATTCTTGCATTGCATTGCATTTTTGGTTTGAAGCTGAAAAAAATAAAAATAATATAAACACCAGTTTAAATATTAAAAATTTATTGAAGAAATTACCAATGATGAATCTAAATTGTTGTCTTTGTCTATTAACTCTTCATTCTTTAATTCATCAGAAGTTTTAAGTTCTTTACCATTTGATATTATTTCACTTCTTATTGGTGTTTTTTCTCCAGTTAATTTATTTACTAAATACGTCATTCGTCGTTTTATATGTTTCTTAGCTTTTGGTTTTTCTTCATTTTTATTTAATTTTTCTTCAAAACTTAAAGGAATAAGTGCTATATTTGTACCATTTCCTTTAGAAATATCTTCTACTTTGGGGTTATGAGGAGAAAAATGATTAGGCGTCGTGGGTTCAATAGAACTATCAAGCGATTTATTTAAATTATCTTTTTCCGGTTTTTTATTAATAGGTAAATTTTCTGTAAAACCTTTTTGATCTTTTAAATTGTTTTTATTATTTGTTGGATTTTCATTTAAAATATGTTTAATGTCCATTTCTTCAGAACTTTTGAACTCGGGATCTAAAAATTTAGGTTCTTGTTCTTTTTCTTCTAAGTTAATATTTAGGTTTTCATTTTTTATGTTTGGGTTAAACTTGTAAGAGTCTGTAATAGGGTTTAATAATTTATAATCATGGTGTTCCGCACGTGATTCTTCCTTTTTTTTATCTAAGATTACTTCTGAGCTATGGTGTATTTTGTCATCTTTATTTTGATTTTGTTCAATATTGGGTGCGTCATGATTCATGAATTTATTAAAGGAAAATGGCATAAACGATGAAAGTGGTGTACTCCAAAATGGTTGGGGTTTATTTGGAGAGTTATCTTTATCCAAATTAAATTTTTCAGCATTATCAGTATTTTGTGGTACGCCAAAATCTATTAAATTATTTTTTACTACTATTTTTTCTTCATTGCCTAAATTGTTTAAATCATTGCCGTATTTATTAATAATTGGCTCATAATTGTTTTGCTGTTCAGAAAAAGGATAACTGTTGTTATCTTGAATAGGAATTTCTTCAATTTCATTGGTATGGTGAAAGTTATTATTGGGGTTTTTTTTTAACGAAAATTGACTCCATGGCTGCACATAATTATATAACGGTAATACAAAGTTAGAAAGCTTATTATCATTCGTAGTAATATTGTAATCAATATTGTCACTTTTGTCTCCTTCTATATTATTATTTTTTTTATCATTTAAATTTTCTTTTGAAAAATTAATTTGCGGTGGATATATACCGTTAAAATTATTTTTTGGGTTGAAATATTCTATTATATTTGGTTGTATTTTATTATTGTCATTAATAGGGGGATATAAATTATTTGAATATAATTCATTTAGTGGCGTTTGAATATAACTGGGATCTTGTTTAACTAGTTGTTGAATAGGTTGAGTATATGCATTATCATCTCGGTTATTGTCTTGATTAGTAGGTACTAATACATTACTTGTATCATCCAAATTTAATGGTGTAGTTGTATTTTCATCAATTGGTAAGGGATTAACAATGTTAAAAGGATTTTGTTTATCGTCAAATTTTTTTTTATCCTCTGTATCCTTATTTTTATTCTTAGCTGCAAAGAGTTCATCGTCATACGCTAATTCTCCTGAATCGTAAAATATTTCATCTTCAAACTCTAAATTTAAAGCTTTTGCAACATATATTGCATTTTGAATTGATGATAAATCGTCTTCATTTATATCAGCTAGTATATTTTCTGTCGATTCTCTCATATTTTTTTTAATATTTTTAAGTGATGTAATTCCTTTGAAACATATTTCCATTGCTTTCAAAGATACTTCATTATTATTTTGTGACCATTTATCCAACAAATTAAAAAGTGATAAAAATTCAGTTTGTGCCGTCGATTTTTTTTCAATAAAATTAACATGTCCATCATCTAATGATACAGCTAATATGTTTTCACTCAATTTATTGTAATCATACTTTTTACTGAAAATTTTCGTAACTAATTGTGGCAAAGGATCTGTATTATCAATTGGATTTTTTTTCATTTCATTTAATCTATTATAAGCACTTTCTGAAGTGATTTCCGAAAATGATAGAGTGTGTTTGTAAGAATCTCTAAAGCGTGTAGCAACCTTGTACATAAGCTGACGCAGATTATTTAAATGTTTCGTTGACGAATTAACATTAATTTTAACTTGTTTAGCTATACTTGTAATATCATCTGACTTAGTAATTTCTGATAACTTTGTATTTGTATTTGTTTTTAAACTATCTAGATCGTTAAAAAAATTTGTCATATTACTACCGCACATTTTAGCAACCACAGCTAAATCTCTTTGTTGTGCAGAAGTGGCTAGTTTATTCCATTGATTTTCCACTTCATTAGCTTTTGGCGAAGCTTCATTCTAAAATTAAAATTGCATTGAATATTAAAAAAGATCAAATCAATTCTTTGTAGAACATTACGTTTATTTCTGTATAAATTCTCTATAATACAATTTAATTCAATTACTCTATTTTTTATGTCAAATACAAATTATACATCCTAATCAATAATTATTACTTAATAATTTAATTTAAATTATATAATTATTATTATAATAGTTATTATTTAATAAAATACATTATTTAATATATTTGATGTGCAAACGATTTCAGTATAATTATTGAAATGAATACATATACGGAATAATATATATGCTGAGAAATATAAAACAACCAAGGAGTATTTTCTCAAAAAACCTTTTATTTTATATTAGGGCTTTTATTTTAAACCTTCAATATAAATAATACATAAGTATTATTTTTCTAGGTTATACGATAATTAAAAATTTGTTAGTAAGTATAAGCCGCGTACCCCTCAAAACACCACCGAAAATAACCATATTTACATATATGTACACGCTTATATATGAACATAGTTATTCTTGTAATCAGCGGTTATGTTCTTTTCCTACTTAATACAAATTTAATAAATTTTTATTAAAATAAAAATAATTAAATATTTCTTAATTAGATTTAATCTAACTGAAATTACGATTCTATGCTAAAAGATAAAAACTACGATAGAATAATTTGTTAAGAAATTATACAAATTATTTTGATAGTAGTACATCGAAATATTTTTTGGTTGTGTTGTAGAAAACATCAATACATACATATATATATATATGACACATTAGAAACTAATGATTATTAAGTGTCATTATTTAAAATCATGATATAAAAATAATTATTAAAAAAATTATAAACTGCATAAGATATGTTAAATACTTGAAACACTTGTCTATTTACATTTATTGTATCCATATTTTAATAGATAGGTTTTTTCAAATTATAATTTATATTACCTCAAAAAGTTCCGGTTGAAGAAGAAATTATGGTATAGTTAAATAAGTTTATCGTGATACATACCATTTGGAAAGAAATGAGCATAGCAAATACAAATAAAACGGTTGACAGTTTAAAGTCACACATTTTTCGAAAATAAAATATATCAGTATTTTAGCTATACATTTGACAATTTCATAGACGTTTATTATTTATAAATATATATATATAAATACATACATGTATACTTGATATGTTATTGTAATTATAGAAAACAATTGATAATGATATCGTCAGACTTAAATAATGAGTACCATTTGTTTAACGAGAATAAAAGAAAAATATATATCTTTGCTCAAAACATTTGTTATTATTAATCATTGATAGTCTGCATATTTTATGCGCATGTAGCTAATTATCAACACATTTCAAAATTATAATTGAATAAGTACTTATTTAGTATTTTCATTGAAAAATGTTTTAAAACTTCACTTTAATTTTGTAATAAAATATAATTTTTCAAGAATTGTTTTTAATTATATGCTTTGTTTAGTTTTAATACTCAATACCACTGAATACACATTTTTTATCATTTTATTATTTAATCATAAATCACTTAATTAATCGAAAAATAGTACTAATAATTTTTTTTTGGTTTCTCTTAGTTACATGTAATTTTCAAACCTTATATTGGAGGTGTCAACTATATTTTTTCAAATAGCAATGTAAATAAATAATGGAATATAATATAAAAAACACTAATTTAAAAATTGTTATTGACCAGTAATTTTCTTTATGATATTTATTTGATAAATAAGCTAGTTAATTACTTATGTTGCGTTGAATTGAAAAAGTATATAACTAAAAGGAAACAATAAAACATTGTCAATATTATTTTTATTTTTGATTGAATAAGTAGTTTAATATAAAAAAATCAACTTGTATAAATCTTTAATTATTATGTTATAAAATATTTATTAATTTTATTAAAAAAAAAACCCCAAAAACTATTCTACTAATTTAAGTGAAATATAATCCAACATGGATTATAAACGTTTTGTTTAAACATCAACTTTTTTTTTATAAATTTAACAAGCAAATTTTATTTAAATTTAGCTCTAATATATGTATGTTTATAAAATAAATAAATAATTTAATTAATATTTTAGTAAGATAAAATAAAATAATTAATATATTGTTTAAAAACCTAGCACAGTAGGGACGTGCTATAGTTGGGTCCAATATAGATTATATCTGACAGTGATTAAAATCACTATCATAAAAAACGCTTCAATGCAAATCTGTAGATAGTCTTTCATTTAAGAAATTGGTTAATTTTCTAAAAGCTAAATTAACTCCTATTTCTATCATTATTCCTAATTAGTAGTTGATTTATAAGTATAATTTATGAATAAATATTTATTAAAGCAATTCAACGTAGTATGAAATTGATATTTAATAAATTAGTATTGTAATTTTTTTTTGGAGAATTTATAAAACATTATAAAGTAGTTATTATTTTTATGGCAACGTGTATAAAAATTGAAGGACTTGACACAGAACTTTTTAGATAATAATTTGATGTTAATTATGAATAAATGGTGTGCAAAAAATTTTCATCAGAGTCAAAAAAATACCATTATTTAATTTTTAGTGTTTATTTCAAATCAGCGATTATATTTTTTCTATCACCAATAATTTTTGATATTATTACTAATTATTTAAAAATTATAGGATAAAACTATAAAGAAAATAGTTCTGAATATTTCAATTGTATCATCTGTTTAAACACCAAGAGTTACATAGAAATTAATAATATTTCTTTTAATATGATTTATAACGATAAAAGAATAATTAAACACACAAAAAATTGTTTTTAAATTATTACAGATTTTGATTTTTAATATTTAAAAAAATAATCAGCGCAAAATATCATTTTTAAGCTGTTTTTTGGTATTTTAAAGTTGATTTTTTGAAAGTTCATAATATAAAAAAGTTAAATTTGTTACCAAAACTTTTAGCTCAACTTTAAGTTTAAATTTTCATTATTAAATAGAAAATTTTATGAGAATTAAAAAATAGTATAGTTAAGATTAATATGCAGTCAGAAAATTGTATAATTACTATTTACTGTAAATTTATCAGAAAAGCTCAATATTTTGTTGCATATTTGTTGTAATAGATTACTTATAAATACATTATTATAAATCATAGTAATCAATTCTAAGTAATGTTTGGTGATTAAAATAATGGAAAAATATTCTACGATTGAAATATTCAGAATATAATTAATTTAAATTATTTACTTTAACTAAAAAAACCAATCACAACGTTGTTAAAAAATCTACTCAATTGAGTGTATTAATTGTGATAATTTGATGTATCGATAATAAAAGTTGGTTAAGTGAGAGCTGAGAAAATAAATAAGAGCTATAAAAAAAAATCACATAGTAAAAAAACTAAAATATGAATAAGAAATTTCTTCAAACGAGGGAGGACTACAGTGATGGAGTCCTTGATATTTATTATAGTTCTTGAATTTAAATGAGATAAAAATCAAATGATTTAAAATTTTTTTTCTAACTTAAGCTTTTGTTAGGTATTTTAAAATAAAATAAAATACATAATCGAAAATTTTAACACAAAAAAAAGCATTCGGTAGCCATTTTCACCAAGATGACAAAATTAAGTTTGATTTTTTTTTCCATAATATAGTATATTACATAACATTTAATTTAAGATATATATAAATGTGTCAAAATTTCCGGAACTCTATTAAAAGTTAATATTTTATGAAAAGGTTGTCATTTTTAATCCCCCCTGTGAGTAGATAAAGGGTCAGATTTATAAACAAAATATACAAATTTATAAGTAAATATCTTACGTAGTTATAAAAAAAATATATATTGATTTGTTCATTTTTAAAAAAAGTTATGGCAGTCTTAAGTAACAAAAATTGATAAAATGTCATAAATTAGCGATTTTTAAATTTGTAATTTTTTCAATTTTTGAGGGTAATGTCTTCAACTAGATACAATTTGTGATCTTTTGGCGCATCGTTGAAAGAAATCGGTTTGGTGAAAGCTGAGAAAAAGTGGTAATAGA